ACGTGAGGCAATGGAACTGGAGATACGTGACAGTGGTCAGCTCAAGGGAGACAATTAACATTCCTGAGAAAATAAATATGAAAGCTTTTATAATGCATTAGCAAAAGAGTGTTTTTTGGTTTTATAGCTAAAGAAACAAAAGCCAAGAGACAGTAATGAAATGACCTCATGGCTTCTTTAGAACTAGATGGAATGGAAGCTAGTCATATAGTTTAACAAGTAATATTTTAATGAAAAGAAATCAATGTCTATCACAGAAACTGAAGACAGAATACAGAGGCTTTGACCTTCTGAAATATTTCTTTCCAGATTCTCATCTATTCTCTTAGTCAAGTTTATCACTCTGGCCATTTTGTACTGTGTCAGTTTAGCTAAGCTGGAACTACATTTCCTTCCCTGTGTAGTTCTGGGTAAGGGTTGCCCAGAAGAGAAGTTTGCCTGAGACTTGGAAGGCCAAAGTGACACTCAGCCCTGTGCTTGGGGGGTTGGTGCCCTGGACATCAGTGCAGACTGTACACATTGTTGTGATCTGCTGGTTCTCCTTGTTGGCATAGGGAGCAGCAAGTGCACCCAGATCTCCTCCTCCAACTTCTCCAAGTACCAGGCCAGGCACAAGGGCAGGGCTCTGTGGAGAAGGTCATCAGTTTTTCTGCAGGTGGCCTGTGTCATCAGAGTTGACGTGGGAGACAGATGTTGGTTCCAGGTTCTTCTTATGGATTCCAGTTTGCCCTAGCAGGGTCCCTTGTCTTTGCTGCCCCCTGCTCTGCATCCAGCTTTTCCTCCCACCTGCCCTGCTGACCTGCAGAGACTTCAGGCTGCAACCAGATGCAGAAGCCACAGGCTTCACAGACTCCACCAGCTTTTCTTGGCGGCCCTGATTAGTGACTTTCTCCTTTGCCTCTAACCGTCCCCTACCAGACCTTTGCTTGCTCAGCAGCTCTCACAATTATGCAATGTCTAATCCCTGTAGAGAATTCCTTATCTCATATCACTCACAGCAGTTCTGCTTTTCTGCTAGGACTGCTCACACTGTCTTCTCATCCAGGCCTTTCAATACCTAGCCTCCCTTTAATTGACTGTACTTTGTGCATTTCACTTATTCTCAAGGGATCGTTAGCTATCAGAAAAGGCTGATGAAATTTTTTTTTTTTTTTTTTCTGTACGCGGGCCTCTCACTGTTGTGGCCTCTCCCGTTGCGGAGCACAGGCTCCGGACGCGCAGGCTCAGCGGCCATGGCTCACGGGCCCAGCCGCTCCGTGGCATGTGGGATCTTCCCGGACCGGGGCACGAACCCGCGTCCCCTGCATCGGCAGGCGGACTCTCAACCACTGCGCCACCAGGAAAGCCCGGGTGATGAAATTTTAAACTTCATCTTAATATCTCTAAATAGGCATCACGATAGACTGGGAACCAATATTAAACCATGTCGTCTGGGGACATTATCTATAGGCTTCTGGTGCCTGGGGGAAGCCTCCACAGCACCCAGAACTACCCAGCTCCAGCTGTTAACAGAAAGAAAGAAACTATCTTGTTTAAGCCACTGTTATTTTGGTCTTTATTATAGCTGAGCTTGAATTCCAACCAATATACACACTAAACATTATCTTAATCAAGTTTAGTTATTCAAGTAAATGCACATCAAAAACTTCTGCATTCTCATCATTATTTTCCTTCTCTTTTATCCTGTAGCTCAGCCTTATAAAAACTGTTCATGCTCGCTTAGCTAGCAGAGCTTCAGAAAAAGAGAGATTGTCTCTATCCTGCATAAAATGCAGTGGCCCATTAATAGCCTCATGTGATGGACAACAATACACTATTTTCATTCATTCGTTTTTTCTAATATATCTTCAAGGAGAGGACTGAACTGACAATTAACAGTTACTATCAAGACCAACACAGTTCTGCCTATTCTTGTCTTGGCCATTTCAGAAGACAAGAGATGTTTTCATGAGAGCAAGTCGCTTAACTTCTCTGAGATTCAGTGTCGTCATTTATAAAATTTAGTGAATACTTTTCTTCCCAGGCTTGTTGTGAAGGTAAAATGAAGTACTCCAAAATATGTAAAAACTTCCTAGAGCAGTGTTTGACATAATAGGTGCCAATAAATATTAGCTGAATCTAAAGCTTAAATTATGTATTTTTAAAAATTAGTATAGAATACTATTTAAGGAATTCTAGAAGGTAAATAACAAATAGCCTCCAATAATTTTTTACAGAATCAGATTGAGCTTCCTGAAAAGGGGAACTCTTGCTCTAATACAATAAAGTATCAAATGGTATGTGAGTGACTGAGGATTTACTGTACTTTTCAATGTTACCCAAAAATTAAAGAGAAGAAGAGTATCATGAGCTCGGGAGGACTCTTACCATGAATAGGTTGGCTCTGGAAGTTTAAGATCAATGTCTCTCATATTATAATGTGTGTCATGTCATAACCTCTGCCAACCTGAGAGATCCTCTGAATGAAAACAAAGAGGGCATCCTTTTCTTAATTGATCTGTGACATTTCAAAAGATTGGATCAAGAAAACTGATGCAAAAAAGAAATACTTTTAGTTTTATGATGAATATATAGGGAAAAAAAGATGCCAGCAAAGGGAATCAATGGAACAATAAATACCACCTGAAGTTTATCGAGTAAGCAAACCTTATTGATATAGAAAGGTTCACAGACAAGGTTAAGTTGATTCCTTGGTACAAGGTAGCACTCATATCTTGCTCTTCTAATAGGCTTTAAAGAGTTTCTGAAAATAACAATTTTTAAAAGATGCTTACTCAAATTTCATTAACTTTATGTATCAGAATGGCCACATAAGTATTGTTATTGCTGCATGTTATGGCTCCCCAAAATTCATATGTTGAAACCCTAATACCCAATGTGATGACATTTAGAGATGGGGCCTTTGGGAAGTAATTAGGTCATGAGGGTGAAGCCTCCATGGTGGAATTAGTGCCCTTATGAGAAGAGACACAAAAGATCTAGTCACTTTTCTCCTCTCTCTCTCTCCCTCTCTCTCTCTCTCTCTGTCCCATACAGCAAAAAATCTGCCTCTACAAAGCAGGAAGAGAGCCCTACCAAGAACTGAATCTCCTAGCACCTTGATCTTGAACTTCCCAGACTTCAGACTGTGAGAAATAACTGTTTGTTCTCTAAGCCATGGCAACCCAAAGTGATTAAAACAAGTGTCTCACAGGTGCACACCCAAGATAATTGAATCTTGAAAGAATAGTAGAAGCCTGTTTCCAGGAAACTATTCGTTAATGATGTTTATCATTTTCAGTCTTAAGAAGCAGGGTCAGGGTCCAGGAATGGGTCAGAGAGAGCAGAGGTTGATGGTATTGTAGCATTTCCTCTATCTGCCCATGCACAACCCCTTATGGGGAAATCTGTCTACTCATAGTGCGAAAGGAAGGGCCATCTTCTGGACATCAGTGCTTTAGATCATGTAGTCCAGTCTAGCCATAGCTGCTTAGACTAAAACAATCCCTTATGACCTGGCACAGCAAAAAGCAGTGTACATCAGATTCCCTCTATGGAATTTGAATGAATCAGTATCTAGAGACTGATCTCACATAGACGTAGGAGTAGAAACTAAAAGATGAGGAAACAGAGTTGAAGGAGAGGCCATATCAGCCATGTGCAAGTCCAGTTATTAATTAACTGAGATTAAGCAGGTCAAACCTGCTGGTTGCTGACCAGAAAGAATCAGACACAAGGAGCATAGCTCAATCCATTCAACCAAAATCTCCTTGAAGACAGGGACAGTATCTGCCTTGTTCATTACTGTTTCCCTAATATTGAGCATAGTTCCTGGCTATTAAAACAATTAGTCACTGGGTACATATCATTTGAATGAAGAGTTAAGAGTGGATCACTAGGACAAGCCCTCTCCAGAAACACTGTCCAGCGTCTGGCACCAGAAACCTGCACGTGTTCATGAGATTCCTTCTCCCTCAACACAGCGTATGTCTTCTCATTATTCTTGAACCTCCAGCATTTCCCTTTATGGGAGCAAATTTGTCTGCTCCTTGATCATTGTAAACAAAAGTTTCAATATCAACTCTGTAGGAGAGGAAAGGAAGGAGGAAGAAAGGGAGAGAGATGGAGAGGAATGAGAGTGGGAGGGAGAGGTGACAGGTAGGAGTTGAGGGTGGTAGAGAGAGAGACTACCCTTGATTTTTAAGCACATCATTTTCTAGTGAGGCATAAAAAAGAGCCTTCACAACTCCCCTACAGAGAGGTTTAGACTTTGGATGTGAGGCTAAAAGATGAAAGAACTGCAACAAACAACCTATTCTAGCAAACTCGAGTTTGCTCAAGAGAAGTGATTAAACTTTGTCACTGCTATAGACTGACTATATCAAATAAAACAACCTTGTAGCTACCTCCCTGTAGATTGTTTGTACTATGTTCAACGGGAATGCATTGACTCCCATTCTCTTGTTTCACAGACAGAGTAAAGTGCCCCAGGAGGTTACTTTAGTGATCAAATATACTTCAATAATCCATTATCCTTCCCATAATAATTCCTTCTTAATTCCCTTCTTCTTCTTTATTACTGGAATGCATCTACTATTGTGTCTTTAAGAAAATCGAAACACAATTTTTTTTCCTTGCACCTATGAAGAAAGTAGAGAATGATATAGAAGACAATGTCCCAGTCAACTTTGTTTTCATACAACAATATATTCTCTTGAGCAACAAATATCTTTCAAGGTCTGATTCATTCCTAATCAACCGATATTAAAGTATCCTCATGTGACAGATAATGGGAAGCTAATCCTTGGTTGAATACTAGCCCTGCGCATTTCACAAGGCAGATATAAGCCAACCATACTTTCCTCATTAGCAGAAACATCAGGTGGCCAGTATCATCCCCATCTTCCTTCTAGTAGTTCCATGTATAAGGTACTATAGCAGTAGGATGCTCTGACGGGTCAACGATAATATCTAACATTCATAAGGGGAGAGAGGGAAGGAATGAAAAATAAAATACTTACTTGGTCCTAGACCAATTGAAAATGCAGCAACATAAACAAGCAAGCTGGCCAAGGACAGCCATTTCAAAAAAGCTGGGACGTCCGCAGGGTCTGTGATGACCTGGTATTCAGTTTGGCTTAGTCCAGCGTTCGATAAGGATGCCAAGGTCGTTTCTCCTCTCTTATCCAGGTCATTTCTCGTGGGCCTTAGTGAGCTTCTGCTGCGGGAAGCCATCCCTTTAAAGGATTCTCTAAGAGTGTCATTGCTGGCTGACAGGTTACCTGGTCCATAAAGCACAGACTCATCCAAAGACTGGTTGATAGGACTATGGTTTCTGCAGATATTGGTAAAGTTCATATGGATGTTGAGATTCACGATGCCCATGGTTACCAACGAAGCTGCCATCACAGAGGAGCCGACGCAGAGGAGGGTTTTGCTCCCGACATGGTCTACAAGCAGGGTGGCCGGGATGGTGCTGAGGACCTTGACAACCCCAACCCCTGTGGAGGCGAGGCTGGCTGCCTCGTTGCTTTGGAAGCCAACGGACTTCAAAACAGTGGATGCATAGAATAATATGTTTGGCTGACCAGTGATTTGTACAAAAAATACCAGTGTTAAGCCTATCATGATTCGGGTCCTCATGTTGTCCTTTGAACGAAACAGATCCCCAAAACTGTACTGATATTCGTCTTTCAGGGACGATTTGATCACAGTGAGTTCCTCCGTTGTATCGGAGATGGCTCTCAGCTTTCCGAGAACCTTGCTAGCAGCTTCCTCGTGTCCCTTCATCACCAGAAACCGAGGACTTGGAGGAAGAAAGTACATCGCAATCGCCTGCAAAACTCCCAAGGGAATAACAAGGCCGAACATGTATTTCCAGCCATGGGAAACATTGGCAAACGCGTAGTTTGAAATGTAGGCAAAAAGGATGCCAATGACAATCATCAGCTCGTTCAGCGACACAAGAAGGCCTCTCTTGTGTTGGGGAGCAATTTCTGCGATGTAGACACACGTGGCGATGGAAGAGAGTGAAATGGAAACCCCAATGGCAATGCGTCCCGCTATGAGAGCCGCATAGGATAAACTGATGATCAAGACCAGGCTCCCAAGTCCAAGGAGGCAGGATGAAAGGATGATGGCGGCCCTTCTTCCGCACCTGTCAATCAGGACCCCTCCAATGAGAGAGGCCAGTAGGGCCCCGATGAGGAGGGAGCTCACAACCATTTCCTGCTCGTGGCAGGTCAGGGCTAACAAGGTTCTTATCTGCAGAAGAGCCCCAGAGATGAGCCCAAGTTCATACCCCACCAGGAAGCCGCTGACAGCAGCCGTGACAGATGACAGGAGAGTAAACATACCGCAACCTACGAGCAGAGAGAAGAAACAGGTCAGTTCTGAATTGTGTCTGATGGAGACTTAAGCTTGTCTAAGTACGTTTTTCATAGCACTGAGTATAAACACATATAATCATAGTCAAATAATACACTAACCAAAACATGATTAAAGAAGGAAAAATCCTTTTTCTTTCATTTTTGGGGAGGAGAGGGGTGGAGACATTTAGAAAGTTATTTCTATTTGTGATGTGATGTTGGTTTTCGTTTTGAGCAGACAGATATGCGAGATAAGCAGATGACAGACGATGAGGACTGAACAAACAAGAGCATGGTTTCATCCCTGCCTTGGTGTTGGATGAGAAATTCAGAGAGCGTGGCTCCTCGGGTCCCACTGTCTAAGGCAAACCCTTGAGGGCGGAACAGAGAGCGAAGCAGCCTCCGGAAGGGCCCCCGTCTTCCCAGCGTGGATCCTGGGGCAAAATGAAGCACAGCCTCCAGGAAACCTGCCCTCCGGTCTCCTTGGCCGCAATCGTGCCACTGCTGGCTTTTGCTGAAACACATGAGGGTGTTGGGGGAGGCCAGGATGTGAGCGCCTCCATGAATTCAGGGCTGGGTCAGAAAGAAGGAGGCAGAAGTAGGTGCAGGGAAAGGACCCGACAGCATCCATCACTCACTCTGAGGAAGGAGGAGGGGGCATGGGACAGGGGGAAGAAGAACAAAAGGGGCTTTATATTGTTCCATTCTTGTAGGGTTAACATCTGAGGGAAAATGGTGAAATGTTAAAAGTCATTAATTTTCAGTGCTAGGTACATAAGTGTTTGTTACATGTCTGTAACTTGTCATAACAGAAAGGATACAAAACAAAAAGACAAAGGCTTAGAGAAGAGTATCACAGGTCCAGGAAGCACTAGTTTCCAAGGCCGGAGCACAGAAAATCGCTCGCCCTGTTTTAGGAGCTATGAGATGCCAGGACACCATGTCATGTACGGGTACACAGCATGAGCTTGGGGAGGGAGGTGGGAGGGGGCATCAGTGAAAGTGGGTAGGTAGAAAGGGAACACTTCATGCAAGGCCTGGCAGGTCACAGTGACAACTTTTTATTGTATTCCCAATACAGTGGGGTCCATGTTCACTGACCCATAAGAGGGAAGACACCCTGAGCTTCTTGCTGCTGTGTGGAGACTAGTTGTCAAAAGGCAAGACCGGTAGCAGGGGGTAGTTTGTCGCCTTAGTCTTGACAAGAGATGGTGCCAGCTTGCATTTGGGTGTGAGGAGTGGAACTGATGACAAGCAGACAGATTCAGGAGTTAATTTGGAGGTAAAAACGATGACACTTGCCCGTGAATTGGTGTTGGAGGGTAAGGAAGTGGGTCAGAACCCAAGATGGCTCCCTGGTTTGAGCAGTCTGTTGGGTGGTTCTACAATATTCAGTACCCGGTATGCAGGCTTATGTACTATATGGGCCACAGGTGGACCTAGGGAAGAAGCAGAAGGGACCTGGCTATGGGCGGAGGTGAAAGGAGAAGGGGAAATCAGAAGTTCCATATTAGATTTGCTAAAACGGTTTACTTGTTTTACCTGTAAGGTGTTCCGATTAAAATATCAGGTAGTGGATTGAGAATACGGATTTGGAACTGAAGAGGTAAGTCAAGGCTGGAGAGATGTATTTGGGATCCAGCAGCGTGTATTGGGTATTTACAGCCACAGGGATGGGAGAGATCGCTTAGGGAGACAGAATAGAGGAACAAGAGAAGCAAGACGAAGACGAGGACCTAGGGAATGCCAACATTTAGAAGAGGAGGCAAAAGCAAAGGCGATGGAGAAGCAGCAGAATGAGACGTGTGTGAAATGGACTAGAAACGTGTGCTGAGCTAAGGCTGTTCAGCTATGCCATTGCTGGAGTAGGAGGTGTGGTTTAAAAATGCCATTTAGCTTCGGTGAAGGGAGCAGGTCAGATAAAGGTGATCTGACATCGCTTCCCACCACAAGTATCCAAGGTATTTTACATCTCTGGGATCCTGATGGCATGTGGAAAATGGGAGGCTTCAAAAATAAAATTTAAAAAGCATCAAATATTTAGATGGAGGAGCAAATAAAAATGCAATAATCCACAATAAAATAAAGTTGATGTATGAGCATTGCGAATACAAACCATTACATTGAAACTACATCAACAATTTAACCAGCTAATCAGAAAACAAATATTTAACATCATTACACAGCAGGCATCTTCCTAGGTACTGGGAGATATCTATATATGTGTACAGATATCTCTCTATATGTATCACAATGAAACAAAACAGATGTGGTTCTTGCTCCCCAAGAAACTTAACATTCTAGTGATATCTCTATTTTCTATTATTTCTTATGTACTCTTTTAATTTTCACATGCAAAATGACTTTGAAGTACTTTCATGCTCTCAATTTCCACATATTCTTTTTTCCCACGTGATCTTAAAATCCTCAACAACAAATTCTTCTACCACAGGTGATCTGAGTCAGATTCTCACATTTGGATAAGAATATCACATTGCTCCGTATCTCTTCTTGTCATCGTTCTTTACACCTAAGTTTGATGTGCTGATTAGGGTGTGTGCTCTGGCAGTTGGTCTCCAATATTCAGGTTGGAGAAATAAGTGACTCAGGAGAATGAGGCACTTGAGAGGCAGGTTGAGTGAGGCACCCCAGAAGCAGATTTAGAGGGATAGAGGGCGGCATGGGGTACTGAGTCAAGGACACGGGGGAAGAGATGCCAGAGCTGTGTGAGTAGCAGAAGACAGTCTTTGCCACCTTGTCCTTCTCCTTAGCCTTCCTTAGTTTCCCCGTTTTGTTGGATGGGAAATAGTGCCTCCCTAGAAAAAGAAAGACCCCTTGAGATACAAGAGTTCCTTCCTTTGATGCTCTATTATCCTACTTTACTTTTTAAAAATAAATTTATTTATTTTTGGCTATGTTGGCTCTTTGTTGCTGTGAACGGGCTTTCTCTAGTTGCAGTGAGCGGGGGCTATTCTTCGTTGCGGTGCACGGGCTTCCCATTGCGGTGGCTTCTCTTGTTGTGGAGCACGGGATCTAGGCACATGGGCTCAGTAGTTGTGGCTCGTGGGCTCTAGAGAGCAGGCTCAGTAGTTGTGGCGCACGGGCTTAGTTGCTCCGTAGCATGTGAGATCCTCCCGGACCAGGGCTCGAACCCGTGTCCCCTGCATTGGCAGGCAGATTCTTAACCACTGCGCCACCAGGGAAGCCCTCTATTATCCTACTTTGGAGAGAGTCGAGGCAGTGGGTTAAGGAGGAAAGGGGATGGGGGGAGGGGTGCAAGTTCCAAAGCCAGCTTCTTGTGGTCTTGGGGAAATATCCCCTCACAGAAGAGAGATCCAGGTTTTTCTTCTGCTTTCTGGACTTAGCTTCATATGCCTAGTTCTTTTATTCAGGGTTCATAGGACACTGACAGACTGGGATGTGTGCAAAGGGTCTGGAAACCATCCTGGTTTGTCAGGATGAGACCCTCTTGAGACCCAGCAGCTAGCACTGAGTATAATTCTTTAGAGATATAATAAAATTGTCTCCATATGAATAAAAAATTCTCTTTACAAAATTACAAGTTTTTAAAAATTATATATCACAGTATTATCTACCTATACCTATCTAGGCAATTTGCCTTCAAAAGCTTATACAGTTGCACTAGGACATTCTATGACCCTATACTCACATAGGTTGGGGGGAGGATACCAACACAGGTTGTATGCTATGGTCTTTACTGACTGAATTTTATTTGAAGGATATATCTTCCCATTATATGCTTTAAGGGCTACTGACCCAAACTAGCTTCCCCACTCATCTCATGACTGCTGTTTATTACTGCTGAGGTTCCATTACAGTCCTCAGGCTGCCCATTCAGGATTTGGAATTCTAATTCAGTGTGGAAGGCTAGACCCTAGCGCTTCCAGGATCTCAACCGTGTGACACCTTAGGACTTCCACCATGGGAAATTTTCCTGCTGCTATTTTACCATATAAATAAAGTGAAGAAAGACATAGAGTGGGTTTTCCTTTTCTGTGTCTACTTTTTGGTTGATGATGATAGAAGCAGGATGCTATCCTCTGGACGCCAGAAAGTAGAGATGACGTTTCCAAGAAATCTGACAGAGAACGGGAGGAAAGAGAGAGAATGTCTGCCTAAACACGAATGGCAGAGTCTGGGGCAGCTGGGTGGACTGAGGAGAAGCAGCCAGCGCTACAGGAGAGAGGAGGGTGAGGAATCATAATTAGAGCCTTTTCAATAAACATCCAGCCCTGAAGCCAGTCCGCACTTGAAGTTCATGGTGAAGTTTAGCATTCCTGGCCGTTTGGCTCATGGTCTCGATCCACGAGGGCCCTTCTTTCCACCCCAGTGTCCCCCCAAAGATGCCATAGGGAATTCTCAGCCTTTTGTGGACATCACAGAAGTAGAAACTATCTAGAAACTTGCAAGTGGTACCCACAGGCTCCTGGGTCATGCCTACCCTCTGGGTCCGGCTGCTTTGTTAGACCAGCCGTGTTCCTTTTGATGCGATGATAATTCCTTAGTAAGATAATAAAGTTAAACTGTTCCTATTGAAGATGTGATCACAGCTCAGAGGCTTTATGCAAATGAGCACTGAGACCCACATCCAGGGCACAAAGGACAGGCAAGCCCCACTGGCTAAGAGGCTGCAGCCGCTTTCACAATAGCTGCGTTGTCTCCTGCTCACGGTGACTCAGACAGAGCCACAACTTTAACAGGCAAGCACATGAAACACTCCATTTTTCACAATATTTGAGTTTCTGCCCGCTTTCTTCTTTCCTTTCTCCCCCATGTGCCTATTCTAGCGTAGGTACATAATGGACACACAGCAAACGCTTGCCAGAGGACTGAATCCTACAACAGACTGGAAAGCAGCGTGCACACACAGGTCTTTTTTCAGCAGGCAGCCAGGTCATTATACAGCTTGACCAACTGTGAAGGCTTCACATATTTCAAAGACCTCCTACTTCATGTTTTGCTCGAGAAAAACT